CAGGGGGCCGCTTGTACAGCAGTCCATCGGTTGCAGCAAGCCAAGACCAAAGCCTACGGGATGTGCTCTGTGGAAAATAATCAATGTATTATAATATTATATGGCTTTAAAAGCATGCACCTTCATAGAAACCACGCTACAACCAACATGGGTGTAACGAGCCTGTCCGCCCATTTCTGCTGCGTGTCGTACGGCGAGTGTTCGGGTACAAAGACAGTCGAGAGCCATTCGGTGCGCCATTCGGGCATCCTGTCGGGTTGTCCAGTGCGGAAATAATATGCCTGCGCAAGGCTCAGATCGGCGAGGAAGCACTGCAAATCCTCCTGCGAGTCAATGTCCGGCGGAAGGCAGTCCAAACAGTTCGACGGCAGCTGCTCGCAATAATCGAGATTACGCTGCAGGATGGTACTTGGGTCTTCCATCCCACAGACCGACGCGAGGTAATAGTCCATCGCACGAAAATCGAATATGACCTCGTCCTGCGGGTCGGTGGAACGGCGAAGAAAAAACGGGAGTCCATGGGGAAGTCCTGCTCGGTCAGCGGAACCGGAGGACGACATGTCCGACGAGAAAGAACGAGGAAAGGGAGAGGAATGATGATGACAGTGGCAGGTGGCTTGGGCTTTCTGGCAGCGGCATGATAACAATGATTCTGTGTCTAGGCTTCTTTAAAAAACCTAAAGCATCACCAACCACGACAGACCATGATGCTTCAGATGAAAGTCTGCCTGACTTGTGCTGCTGCTCCACACTGGCAAGTGCTAGGCTGCCCACGGTGATCTACGTGTGCCCACTCGAAGTCCAGCGGAGTCACCTTTGTGAGGCCGACGTTAGTACTACATGGGAACCATGGACTCATGATTTGTCCCTAGTCCTTCGGGGTGGTCCTGCGGTGCCGCTTTTGAACTTCCTAGCTTAAATCATAGTAACTTCGAATGCAAAGTGCACAGAAAAGGAGCTTGGACAGTCCTAGGAACCGACCTTGAACAGTCTGGTTACAAAACCCAGCATTCTTTACAAGAGGCAAGCTGCTGAGTAGAACCATCGAACTCCGAACGACCGTTGCAATGTGTACTGACGACCCAGGCCTTGTGTCTAAGTCTTCAAACTGACATGTATAACTATGATTCTAAACTGCATTCAGTCAGCTGCTAACCACCCTTGTCCCAAAGGAACCCCACACCCTGTGTAAACCCGACAGCTGAAACACAGACTCTGTGTGTGTGTGGGTGTGTGTATGTGTTGTCCTGTGTATGTCCTGCGAGTGCCAACAGCTGTTGCTTAGTGTTGCATGGGAAACCAGATGAACACAACGTCCCAAATGAAGTCCCCAATCTCAGAAGATGTAAGTAACAAGCGAAGAAACCTGTAAGTAGCATCTCAAGACAAGATGGTTCCAAAGGCAACCGCTAAAGAAAAGTATAAGTACCAGGAGAACAAACAGGGAATGTGCATTCTCGAGTCCAGTACCATTATACCACTGCACAAGTGCAAGAACTTACTGTACTTACCCTGTGCCCTGAAGAGAACCATCCTTTAAACCCAAACAAAAAAAGCATGAACAGACCTGAGCTTGCAACGAAGGATTGCGCATGGAAGACCTGATGCGAGGAAGCTTGAGGGCTTCTCCTCTTTAATATTTTATAATTCTGAGTATTAATATAATATTATTATTGCCTGATGTGAAACCTCCACAAAGACTGAGACACCCAATCCAAACCACTTTTTGACTGTCCATGGTTTGAATATCAAAAAGCTCGTAAATTAAATATGAAGACAGACCTTTCCTGAGAGGGAAGAATAACGATTCTGAAGCCCCCTGTAGACTACTGCAAACTCCATTATCGCAAATCCACCTCTGAGTCTTTGCCATCCGACTTAACATTTACATAGAAGACATGGACACCACATTTTCCTAGCCTCATGGCATATGAGAAATATGAATTATCTGTGCAGTAACGGCGCGGCAAAACAGCTAACTCCAAACCGTGATAAATCTTTCATAAGAGACCACGACCCAACCAGCAACACATGATCGGAGCCGCTCTGAGCACCCAGCTGCGACGAAAGGGTGGCTTCAAAGCACCTGACGCTGGCAAACACTGGCATGCTGATACGACTCACTTACTACCTCAGGAAAGCATTGTGCGGCAACGACTGCAGAACCGCACTTTTTCCTGCTGTGTCCGGCGAGTCGAGAAGTTGGCGAGTCGAGTACCGTGTATCAGACCGACGAATCAGGATATTTCTCTGTCTATTCCAGGATGCTGCTATGCGGCCTTCTAAAACATTAATTTAATAGTTTGTCCTTCGAGGAACCGTCGAGTCTGATATGCACGGGAACTACGGGGGACTCCGTCCTCCGGGGGGAGCAGCCGGCTTGCGGATGCAGGCGGGTGCCTGCTTTGCCGCCGGGGCGGCCTTCGGGATGCTGGGAGTCTTCGCCTGGAATCAGGACATGTAATGACTAAGCAGGAAATACATGCAACATGTCACCGAGGCCACCGAGTGCAATCAAGACACAGCTGTGGCTGGTCCGGCGGGTTTAGCGGGAAGTCCTGTGCAGAACAGAAGCAGCCACTCGAAACAATGTCACATGTGCAAGTAGTTGAAGCTACATATCCCAATGAACGGCGAGCAAAAAACAAATCAACATTCTTGAAGCGAACCTAAGAAACCATGTCTAGCTTATTATAAAGCATACCGAACCAACGATGCAGGGCCACTGTTTCTGCATACTGGCACTGTGAACTGTGTGAACACCTGCTATTGTTCCGACCGTACACCCCTTCTTTGCTGGGCTCCATATCCAAGGAAGAAGTGCTGGACACAGGTGTAACTACTGAACTCTAATAAGTGATTAAAACTAACCAAAGAAACCAAGCTTGTGCATGATGTGGACACAAGAACTGCTGGCTATTTCTTGTGCATCCAGCTAACTAACACGTGTAACAGACTCGGTCCACGATCCACCGAAAAGGCATCGAACACATATGATAATATGCTTTGTTTTGCCACCTGCGGCCCCCGTGTCCCCTCCACCTCGTCCCTGGCACCTCTCTAATCTAATGCTGCTGACGGACATGGGTGCCCTCTGCTGGAACAGGCCACCCCCTCCAGTACTAGTACTAGTACTAGTACTAGTACTACTACTACTACTACTACGACTACTACTGCTACTACTACTACTACTACTACTACTACTACTACTACTACTACTACTACTACTACTATGACTCATTAAGATTACGGATGTGCAAGTCCAACATGGTAAGTAAACTACTAAAGTACGATTAGTAAGTACTAAAGTACTTCTTTTGTTGCCTTACTTGTACTAGAACTACGATGAAGAATGACTAATTGTACTAGTAATAGGACTATAGTAATGCCTTCACAAGAACTTAACATAATTCCGAACCGAAACCCACATACGTGAAATCGGCGTGGCACTACTAAGCAATCCCCTGTATTAAATTAATGCCTTCCCCTTGCAGTCCTGCGTCGTGCTCTTGGACCTGCGAGAGCTGCATGGCCAAGTAGTCCGCCTCGAGTTTCTTGCGCTCCATCTCGCTCTCGAGTTGCTTCATGAGGAGTTCCCTCTCGGTCGGCCCGCGGGGGGGGTCCTGCGAGGATGACGAGGCCGCCGAGGAGAACTTCACGGCCGTCGTGGTTGTGGCCTGCGAGTGAGTCGGAGTCGGCAAGCCCGAGTGCAGCTGCTCTTGCTTGGCCGCCTTCGTTTTGGCCTTCGAGATTGGTTGGATAGGCGGTACAGCGGGTGCAGGGGCGGCGGGTCTGGAAACGGCGGGTGCAGCGGGTGGGATCTTCGAGGTTTTGAGAGGTGGGGCCTGCGGCTGTCGGGTGGTAGCGGGTGGTGCTGCCTCAGCTGCGCGTGCTGACGTGTTTGCCACATAGGCAGCCCATTCGGGTCGAACTTGGGGTCGAGGCTTCGGCGGGGCCCGCGCTCGTGGACCGCCTTCACCGGGTGGATCCAGAACAGTGCCGTGTCCGACCAGTGGCTTGGCGCCCGGCGTGGACCGGACCCGGGGAGGAGGCCTGTCGGGTGGACTGTACGAGTACAGGTCCTTCGGGGCGCCCGTGGCAGGCTCGTAGTCCGACGGGTCGTAGGTGTGGTCGTCGTCGAAGGCGAGAACTCCGGAGTCCGGCGTGTCGTAGCCCTGCTCCCGAAAAATACTTCGTGCGCTTCCGGCGTGCTTCTGTCTCCAGCGTGTAGTTCTCCTCCGGCCTGAGGTCCGACACGATCGACTGGTACGACGAGCCGCCAGGCAAGTCCTCCGAGTGCACGTCGTCTTCCGTTTTCAAGACGGCCATCTTCTTCCGCTCCTTCACGGGTATGTGCGAGTACGTGTTCTCGATCCGGCGAGACTTGGCGGCCTTGAACACCATGTACTCTTCGTCATCGTCTCAGAGCAGAACACATCCGACCGCAAAGGAAGACATGTGAGAGTGACATAGACATGTGCAAATGACAAGAATTCAGCTTGGGCACGTCGCGGGTGCATGGCGGCAATCGACTTCTCGTTGATGTTCATCGTGAAGTACGCCGAGTGGTTTCTTAAGTCCCCAGATTTGCCCGACGAGGCTTTACCTCAGTCCAGAACAGTGCTGCACTCAACTGAACTCTGCAAGCAAAGTACGTCTGGCTGCATTCCAGAGCACGCTTCATCTGTCCGGCGATATCGTGTGCGAGAATTCGGCCCCACGGGGATTGCTCAGCAAGTCCGACCAGCGCCTTATTCATGGGACACAGTGGATGCAATGAAGTCCTTGATCGTGCCTGAACACGAGCTTATTGCTTAATTAAGTCAGGCAGCGTTCCAAACACCGTCGTCGAGATCGAACGGGTAGTTCATGATTGCCGCCGCAACGGCTGGGTGCTTGTAGAGAAGAACAGCGCGTGACTCGGGTCAATCAGTCAGTCTCTCATGCAAACCAGGACTACTAAAAAACCAATTTCAGTCAATGTAAAGTAGCCAAGACACCCTTTCCCTCGCCATCTCCATGCAAAGATCGTCCACCGCTTTTTGCCCTCCTTTTTTGCGGGCCATGTACAAGTGGAACTCGAGCATGTCGACCGCCGTGTAGTCGTCCTGGCACGCCTTCGGGGGAGGTGGAGGGTCCTCCTGGTCCAGCGGTCTCCCCCGGCGTGTTTTGGCCACCGTGAGGAAGCCGTCGTCGCCAATGCCTGGCAGTGCCATCGAGTCGGCCGCCCGGGGGGTGTCGGGGTCCTCGGTCTCGTCGTCGGCCTGTCCTTCGTCGTCATCGTCATCGACCTCAACGTCCACGTATTCCTCCTCCGCCGGCGGGTCGTCCTCCTGGTCCTCCTGGTCCTGCGGCTCGTCGTCTTCGTCCGGTTCGTCCATGTCGTCCTTCGGCGGGGGATCGACGGTGTCCTGGTCGGACACAACCTCTGCCCAACGTCCAAGGTCCTGCGCGATCATCTCCGAGTCTGTGTCCTTCTGGTAGCCCTCGTCGTCCGCCTCCTGCATGCCTTCCTCGAAGGCTGTCGCGGCCTCGGGTACGTCCGGCTCACACCAGCCGAGCTGCGTGGCCGCCGCGTAGTAAGCGAGTGACCTCCGACGGGGATTTTTGAACATGATGATGGCCGTCGAGATGAAGTTGGGTAACGGGTCGTCCTCCTCGCGTTTCTCCACGGGTGGCAAGTGGACCGACCACCACTTGATGTCCCAAACGTCCGGGTAGTTGAACGTCGGGAGGAACAGCGGGTGACCCAAGGCAAGTGCCACAAGGGTGGAAAGTCCGGCGGCACGGTGTTTGCCCCGTTTGCCTCAGCTCGTAGTAGTAATAGTAGTAGTAGTAGTAGTAGCAGTAGTAGTAGTAGTAGCAGCAGCAGCAGCAGTAGTAGTAGTAGAAGTAGTAGTAGTAGTAGTCGTAGTAGTGGTAGTAGTAGTGCTAGCAGAAGTAATAGTAGTACTAGCTAGTAGTAGTAGTAGTAGTAGTAGTAGTAGTAGTAGTAGTAGTAGTAGTAGTAGTAGTAGTAGTAGTAGTAGTAGTAGTAGTAGTAGTAGTAGTAGTAATAGTAGTAGTAGTAGTAGTAGTAGTAGTAGTAGTAGTAGTAGTAGTAGTAGTAGTAGTAGTAGTAGTAGTAGTAGTAGTAGTAGTAGTAGTAGTAGTACTAGTAGTAGTAGTAGTCGTAGTAGTAGTAGTCGAAATAAACGTGAACAAACGAATTCCCACCTTCAACCTCGTCACAGAACAGCGAGAGGATGATCTTCATGCCCTCCGGCTTGTACTCGAGCAGCGTGGAAATGAGAGCGAGCATCATGACCAGCGCGTGCCACATGCCTTCCTGGCCGACCGACAGGTGCTGGAGAACTCTGTAGTTGAGCGCCGGGGAACCTTAGAAAGCAATCAAAAGCCACATGCCACACTCTCTCTGTAATGCAACACATCGGAACAACAACGACTGCACTGCAACTATGGTACCGCGGGGACTCTGAACGTCGTGTTCTGCGTCCTTCAAGCCCAGCGCACGAACGTCGATGTCAAGGTACATCCAGTCGAAGACGCTGAAGCCGCTCTTCTCCAGTCCAGTCTTCAGAACTCCGGTTCGTCCATTCGCGTGTGTCGGGGTGTTCGCCGGGCCTGATGAAACGAATCACACACACACACACTAATCGTGCAGCAATGCAGAAGCACAGCATGTTGAATTCGACGGTTTTAGACAAGAAGCAGGCATAAGGCTTCGGGTACAGCATGTCGGCTCCGTATCCGACCAGCAACAACTTGTCCTCCCCGTTCGGCGAGTCTTTGACGTCCTGCGTGGTCCGCTGACACGTGTCCATGTTGCCCGTCGAGTGCACCGGCAGGGGGGCCCGCGGGGCTTTGTCCGCAACCCTGCCGACACCTTCAAAAGATGAGGTCATGGCCGCCGAGGTGGAACTACGAAGGAACGGCGAGGATACTAGGTAGAGGAGAACGTCGGGAAATTATCAGTCATGCGCTTCCACACGCTGAAAGTCCTTAAACCTTAAGGCGAGTGATGCAATAGCTACTTACGAGTGTTAAGCTCCTATAAACTGTGTGAATGAATCTGAAAAAGCGTCCATCATGTGTTGCCTGAGGCATGGACATCATGTCATCAGAGAGCTTTGATGCACAATGTGCAGGCTTGGTCCAAAAGTGTGGCAGTCGAACAACCGATGCTCCGTCAACAAAGCTTCAACAATGCTGGTCGCATGCACACACACAAGATAACCAACATTCGTTCATGTCATGAGCAGGCAGAGCAAAAGGGGAGGGCGGAAGGCACCTGGTCCAGCGAAGAGCGTGGCATTGGACACGAAGTTGTTGTCCACCGTTGCAGAACGACGGGGAAGCACGGCGGGTAAGTTCTTCGGGTTGAGCTACAGCTTGCCCCTCAAAACAACTGAAGACCAAATTCCCGCGAGCGACCTTTGCTCCTCCAATTCTGTAATAAACTCAGCCTGTATTCAATCTTAAATCCATACTCCTATACACACAAATCCATTCAACTCAAACCGCTGTCCAAACGGGTGTTTGCTTAATTGCTTGCTTGTTATGTGGTTTTGGAATCCTCCGATTGGCTATGTAAAAAACACACCACCGGCATGTAAAATACGCACACAAATCATAATCTCAAAACTGGGGGAGTTGAACTCGCAAATGTGCAATTTGGGTTGATCATGGAAAACTGCCAAAACATACACCCTATCCCCGGCATACGCGCATCCCTGCTTAAGTTGATCTCTGATCTAAACCCCTAAATCCCTAAATCCCTGAACCCTAAACCCTAGATCGCCAAATCCTAGCATCTCAGACTGGACAAACCTGAAGTTTCTCTGACGTCCATAACTCTGTATCGCAAAGGATCCTACCTACCGTCTCCATTGTAGTTCCTTTTCTTGGTTAACCAAAATCTCTATTGTAGGATCCTAACCAGAAAATTGGTTAACAGAAAAAAGGAACTACAATGGACACTATAGGTAAGTACACACATTGTAGAAAACAGACTTTCTGTTGTAGTGGGAAATATTCGTATGGTTTGGGCAGATACCCCCATACATAAAACAACCTCAACCCCTGAACCCTTAAAAGGGCCCTTACAAGGACAGGAAGCCTAACCCTTAAAGGAACGCATGGAGGAACTTAGGACCCTTTGGGGAAAGATCCTCAGTCTCTGCCAGGTCGCTCAGTTACTTAGAGGTTCAGGGGAGAAACCAGCTTTTCTGAAACTCTGAACCCTAAACCCTGCACCCTACACCCTAAACCCTACACCCTAAAGCCTATCGCTCTCGGCCAAAGGCCTCGGTGAAGACTTTCCTGGCTGCCCAGATGGCCGCCTACCGCAAAGAGGGCAGAATGGGAGTTTCCGAACACCAGGGGTACCTTCAAAGGGATCCTTCAAGGGTTTCTATAAGGGACCTATAGGGTGTCGTGTTTAGGGAGCTTCCGAAAACTAGCGTTACCTTTTTGGGGGTCCTTATACTAAGGATCCTACTATTTGGGGTACTATATTAGGGTCCCCCAGTTTCGGTGATTAGCTAGAGCGTTGAAGCTATAAGTGCGAAGGTTTCCTTGATGGGATCTAGAAGGGTTCAAGAGTAACCTAGGAACAAAAAGGGTGCCCTTTTTGGTTTAAAGGGGCTTATAAGGTAACCTGAAAAGTGAAAAACGGAATACGTGCCTACTCTAGGTCCTAGTTTAGAAGGTCACAACAGGGTGTAAGGGATGAGGGCTATGGATTCAGGTCGTTTGGGGGTTGTAGTTTGGCTGTTCGAGATTTTTGGTTAAGGTACAGGTGTGTGTGTGTGTGTGTGTGTGTCTGTGTGTGTGTCTGTGTGTCTGTGTGTCTGTGTGTCTGTCGGTGTGTGTGTCTCTGTGTGTGTCTGTGTGTGTGTCTGTGTGTGTGTCTGTGTGTGTGTCTGTGTGTCTGTGTGTCTGTCTGTGTGTGTGTGTGTGTGGGTGTGTGTGGGTGTGTGTGGGTGTGTGGGTGTGTGGGTGTGTGGGTGTGTGGGTGTGTGGGTGTGTGGTGTGTGTGGGTGTGGTGTGTGTGGGTGTGGTGTGTGTGTGTGTGTGTGTGTGTGGGGGGTTTGCACCTCTTTTATGGCTTTGGGGTGTTGTGGTGGTTGAGGGCTGTAAGGCTTCAGGGCTTCAGCGCAAATACGGTCTATTGAGTTTAGGGCTTGAGGCCTTCCCGGCATAGGCGGCCGAACGCTGCTGGGGGTGTAGAACCATAGCACTCAGAGTGTTTAAGGTTTTACCACAAGTTTTACGGGCCACAAATTGAGGGGGAGCACTGTTGAAGTACAGTACTCAATGGTTTTCAAGAATATCATCCGTGCGGGCACATCAGAATGAAAATACTACTGCGATCATTACTAGTAGTGACAAGCACTGGAACTTCCAGTAAGCTTGCCTTAAAATGCCTTAAGCAATTCTCGTTGCTCTAAACGATCGAGCCGCCTTAATTATTAGAATAGGGTTTTGAGTTTCTTTGTAGTATATTCATAATCCCTTAAGCAACCCTTATAGAAACCAGAATGTGTACCACACCGTTTGGGGAAATAGGCCAAAATCCCGCAATCTGCGACCCCGAACCTGAACAAATCCAGACTTAGAGCCCGCCCCCCAAACGCTAAACCCTCAACACACCAAAAAGGCCTGGGCGTCATCTGTGGCGATCTGGTCATCGAGTTGCTCGAGTTTTTCCTGCCCTGCAGGGGTTCAAGCGTTGTGAAGGGTTTGGGGGTTTAGGGTTTGGGTTTTTTTTTTAGCTCCTTTTTTCGCCTAGGTGCAAGCCGTCGACTAGGGTTTGGGTTTAGGGTTTAGGGTTTTTTTGGTTTGGGTTTAGGGTTAAGGGGTTTAGGGGTTAGGGTTTAGGGCTCGGGGTTGTGGGTTTTGGGGGGTTAGGGTTAGGGTTTAGGGCTTGCAGGTCTAGGTTTAGGGTTTAGGGACGGGGTTCAACAAGCTTGTCTTGAAAGGGTTTCACAAGGTTCTCGAGTGTCTCTTTCCACAAAGCTTACTTGCTTGGAGGTCTTCATAGTGTCTCAGGGTCCGCCTTCCTGTGCAGATTTCAGAAAGGAATAAAGTGCAAAGGTGGCGCTCAAGTGGAAGGGCAGGGATTTGGGTTGATCTTAATGGGATTTGGGGTTCGGGGGGCAGGAGGGCTTGCAAGTTGTGGCTAAGTCATCTCACAATGCGGCATCGCCGTGCTAGCAAGAAAAGCTTGACAGGAAGGGTCAAGAACGGGCTTAGTTCTTTTGGTTGACAAAGGGGAAGGGTTGGATGGCGGATCTCCTCGACAAGTCCATCGAGAAAGCGCGGTGGCAAAGATATCCCATATAATCCCCTGCTAACCCCAAGGGTCCAAGTACCTAATAATCATATACTCTCCAAAATCCTTACCTACATAACTACTATCCTAAAACCTAAAACCGAGTACCTAATTATTGGGTCCTTCGGACCTTTGGGGTAAGTTGAGCAGCGCATGAAACGAGCGATATCCGGGACAAGAGTTGAGATTGGAGTGTCTGGGGCTGGTTTTCGCGGATTCCAGGCGTTGGCTTTAGCAGCTGTAGCAGACTTCCCGGCGCTGATACAAGATGTTCGGGACCGTGGTTCACGAAGAGTTCAGGTGCAAGGCCAAATGCATTCAATCTTGTAGTTTCGTAAAAGGCTGAGAATCCACCAGGGTTGTGTATTGTGTTGTATGGTCTTCCAAAAGCTTTAGGGTATCGGGTTGAAGCCTTTGAAAGTCTTCTTGAATGCTGATTCAATAAGCAGAGTTACATGAAGCACCCTGATGGCGCTACCTAGACTCTAGACTCTGGAATGTCGTCCGTCTGTCTGGACAACCTCTGTATTCTATGTTTTTTTTAGGGTTCCGTAACATAAAGCTAAGATAGCCTAAAACAAAAGACTATGATCCTCCAAGGAGGCTTAGGGTTCCAGGGCTCTGGGGCTTGATGGTTAGGGTTCAGGATTTAGCTTTGGGGTTCACGGTGATTTCCTCAACCCCGCCATGTAAGCCCGAATCCGAACCACGAACACCTGACCCGAAAAAAACACAAAGCACTAAAGCCCTTAGAGTAGAATTAAACACCTAATGAAAGAGCCCTAAACTCTTTACTGGCGATTAGCCCTACCTAACTGAAACCCAAGAACCTACTTCCTAAACCCTCTAAACCCTACACCCCTAAACTAACCCCTAAACCCTAATCCCTAAACCCTAAACCCTCCTGAACGTCCTAAGCGCTGAACCCGTAGCCCTAACCTAAAACCCCCCAGAGCTCCGGAGAGCATAGTAGTTTAGGGTTTAGGGTACGCCTTCACCAGGCAACTTACCTCACAAAATCTTGGGGTTTAGCAGTTAGGGATTAGGGAATAATTTCAGGAATCATTCATGTTCAACACGTGCCAACATATTTACATATATATATATATATATAATACGTATATATATATATATATATACACATCATTCGTATAACCCTTCTCAACCCACATGACATGTGTTACCAAACCATACAGAACACAAATTAAGGAATACGTCCTCAACTCCTGCTAAAATCC